ATAAAAAAAAAAAAAAAATAATAAATAAATATAAAAATATAAAAAATTAAAGAATTAAAATATAAAGATAAAAATAAAAATTTAGAAAACCTATAATTAATTAATTTTAAAATACTAGATCAATATCATATTCTCCTGGCGATAGCCTTGGCGGTAGTGATATACATGTAATTATTACTTGTACTTCTTACTTCGGAAGAAAGTTTTTGTAGTAATTCATCATATTCTGAATCCGTAACGTTCATTATTCTTTTTACCTTTGGTTTTATGCTTCTATAAACTTCAATTAATACGTCGGCCACCTAAAATAAAGTCATTCCTTTTAATACGAAAAAAAAAAATTTATTTTTTTAACGAGATTGAGTTATTTATTCATTACTGTAACTACCTCTAATCCAAAATCATTTCCCCATTTACCCACGGCAACTTTCTTCTCTATTACTTTTATTGAAGTAAATTTGTTCGTTGACTTTAATAGATGATAGAACGGGAAGTCGTGACAAAGATAATGGTTATTTGCTCGATGGTATTTATTGACTAAAAGACAAATTTTTAAAAAAGTTTATTTGATTTTAATAAAAAAATAATAATAATAAACAAAAAAAGGTTTTCGAGATAACTCACGAGCGTTTTGAAATTTCCTGGCGGTTCTAGTCAAATTATTTTCATTAACTTGTATTTCCATTAATTCCAGCCAGCCACCGGGTTTCATAGCTCTAGCGAATTCATTTAACATTGTATTCCATTGAGATTTATTTAGTGCTATCATCATGGACCTTTGAAATATAAAATCAAAAGTTGAATCCTCAAAAGGTAATCCGTTGCATATGTTGTATTCAAAAAACCCAAGGTTTAATGGTTTGTCATCATTATCATTATTTGAAAACACTGGCACCATATCTAATCCCACAAATGTTGAATTTGGATATTTAACCGCCATTTCATATGACCATCTTCCTGAGCCGCAACTAATCGATTTCGAAAAAAAAAAAAAAAAAACACCATTAATTTAAAAAGAAGAAAAAAGATATTAGGGTATACGTATACGTACCCGCAGTCCAACACTTTTGCACCTTTTGGAGAATTTAATTTCTCCTTTACAGGAGAAGAAAAGTTACTTCCCCAATGTTGCTTATAAAGTTCGTGTGCGACATCAGCTCTTCTAATTTCAAAAGAATCACTTGGTAAAACGTAAGTTGATGTGTTGTTTGTGATATTGTGATATTTTCTACCATCTATATACATGTAAGTATCAAAATTTACCGTATTGGACCATGAACGTATTGAATTCGTATCACAATTTCTGTTACGGTAACGCTTTAACCCAAGTAATGATTTGCCACTTATTATTATCCTTTTAAAAAAATAAGGAATTTTGTTTGAGAACCGTTTTATCTTTACTTTTATTTTTCTTTGATTCATCTTGTTTTCTCCTCCGTTTTGTTTTGAGGAATTCATACGAGCTTTTTATTCAAAATTTTTATTTTTTTTAGTTTGAATAATTAATTTTCATTTTGATTGCCGATCTCCCATGAAAATTGAAACAATAAAATATTGATCTTCAAAGATACACTTTTACAAAATAAGTTATCGATTTTTAATTTGTTACATTTTAACTGGCTCGTATTAAAATAAATAAAGGATTAGAAAGGGACAAAATCGGTTAAAGGCATGTATTTCAAAAATCATCGGATATATCACAATATAGTAAAACCATTAATATTTGGGTAGATCATAATTTTTTTTTTTTTTTCTTTGTTAAAGTAAACGAAAATATTAATATCCAAAATATCATGAGGTAGAAATCACGTGTGCCTGAACAATTGATGGGCAATCTTAATGTTATTGTGAATTTTCATCACCATAAGCTCCTGTGTATCAAGTCAAAGATCCATCTTTTTTGTGATCCTTTTGTAGAAAAGATTTCTTATTTCTTTGTCAAGACTATGGTTTTATGGAAGTTGCGAATTCGAAGATCTACGAAAAAAATTTTTTCCTTCTCTTTCGCGAGGCTTTGGAATTATTAGTATGAATAATAAATGAGAAGATTGCTAAGAAAATCGGTTCTGAGAATTTTTTTTTTCATCACATTTGTGTTTAGATCAAAAAAATGCAATAGAATCTTTTCCATGTTTTATAAATTTTTCGGCGGGAATTTGCTGGACAGTGTCGAATGGATCATTACACCGTGAAAATTGAATGCTTGCAACTTTGGTTGGCACAAGCACGAGAACAAGCGATCGTGCATCGATATCATTGTTTCTTGCAATTTCACGAAGCTGATCTCGAATCAACTATTAATGAATTGTTTTTTTAATTGATGTTTCGCGTCAGATGTTCTACTGGCCTAAATTACTGGCACATTTTTTTTATAATTTCCTGGCCCGGCATCACTGACGATCATTTTCGATCATTTCTATATTTAGTATCCCGTCAACGAAACCCGAGTCATCTCGATTTTCCGATCCTCATCAAAACCGGTTTATACCGAAATAAACTAAACCTAATCAAGTAGATCATAATAATAATCTTTTTTAACAAAAAAACAAAAAAATCATTTGATCAGTATTATCACTATGAACCTCGCAAAATTGAAATCTTTACGGTATGGCTTAGTTAAACAAACGCAAGACATTTCCAAAAATGCGTCAGTATTATTATACTGCTTTGAATTTAGCCTTCGGCACTTGCGGATTTTTTTTAATAAATTACAAGACTGATGCATATGATACAGTAGCAGGTCATGGTTAAAAAATCACCCAAAGGAACTTTATTAATGTTTTAATGTGTAACAGGGATCATATTTTACAATACTTAATAAAAAAAAGTGCTAAACTTTGAGATCGGGCCTGATCTCGGAATTCATGTATCACGTGACAACTGCGCCATTTCGAACTCTTTCGGCTAATTTTGTCTAGTATTCTTCTTAACCTGAGATGTGATATTATCATCGCTTAATTTTGAAATAGATGTCGCTGAAAACGTTTTTATTCGTTGGATGAATACCATCCGTTGAATTTTATCTTCGCTAATACGAAAAAAAAAGATCATAAACCTTCCTCGCACTGTCTGACTTCTTTCGGACAGCACTTTTTGTAACCTCTTTGGGAAGCTGATCTTTAACCTCATCATAGAGCTTCTTTGATGCTTCATGATCCTCATTAGTTTTTCTATAGTGAACAAGACGTTTCTCTAGCTCCTCCCCGTAGTAGTAATATGCAACAATAAGTTCATGGTGTGCCTTTTCGTTCCGTTCCTCAGCATTGGAGATTTTTAAATACAGGTCAAAAAGCGTTCAATCACTCCCAACTTCTCGTATAGCTTCTCTATGGAGTCCTCTCTTTTCCTTAATTTCAGAAAGTCGAGAAGTATCGGAAGATAGCTCCCGGATAAGTTGATTTGTACAAAGCCACATCTCTCACAAGAAAGCTAAATAACATAAATGCGCTTGATGCAAGTAAACTTTTATTGATAATACACATTTTTTTGATACATAGAATTTGTAAGAAATTATATATATTAAATCTTTAAAGTCTTGCGACTACTAGTATCCATGCACTTCATTACCACTTTAAACAATTGAGTTTTTTAACGATTCTTGCTTCGGAATATCTTCCTATTCTCCCTTTCTTTCGTTGTGCAATCAGCCCTTCTCTTGTATGACGAGCACACACCTACAAGATGATTACCTTATTATTATTAACACAAACATAATTGTAACACCTGCAATAACGTTTGTTGTACTTTATGTAACTTACTGCCCATTTGATCAAAGCTTCGTACACAAAAACGAAATTAGGAATATCCACCCAATCCTTCGGGAGACTAAATCGATCTACCTCAAATAAACGATACATGCCTAATAATCACAGAGAATCATTATCTGGTCAAATTCTAGATACATATATACATCGCCATGAAGATTTACATATACATACCACGAAAATCCATCATCGTGAGAGATATCTCAGTTTTATACGCTGTGGCTCCATATGTTCGGAGATCTGTATAAATCTGTCGTCGTTCAGTTGCCTCCGATACAATTATATTATTGAATAACTGCGTCATATTTCTTATATTCTTTGTGTCATCGTCAATAATCTTTTTTTTTCTCGCTCCAGGCTTTGCCTCCTCCATGCAAGCAATTTGATAATCCGAAACATCATTGAGAAATCCAATACCGTCCGCGTTGCTTTTTATTTTTCCCTTCAGAGGAATTTCGCCACTAGTAAAATTCAAGCATGCCATGAATAATGCAATTAATTTTATGGAAAGCGGAAGGAAAACTTCAGCTCACGATATATAATTTATCCCTGCAAAAATCCACAAGGAGCTATCAATTAGTGGGTGAACAAATTGGTTTAAATGTGGTCTCTCTAAGGTTGAAATATTTCTCAACGGGTTTAGTGGACAGCCTTTATACTATATGCAATAGGTATAGTAGGTATTAGCTAATTTAATACTAAATTTTACAGACTATAGTTTCCAACTTACAATCGCCCAAATGTACCCTTTAATAGTCCCTTCGTATCTTTTAACTGTTCGGAATCTTCTTCACAAATTGTTGTTATACTTCGAGCCACTTCACACCATCCTTGATGCCCACGGTCAGTATTAAAGAAGTCCGTAAGATAATTATGAATTTCATCCGTAATATAATCGTCTATCTCGTCAAAGACTTCATGTAGAACTCG